CACGCTCCTCTGCTACTGGCCTGCCTCCAGCAGGGTCATGGGCTGTCAACGCCTTCCCATAATCCTGTGTCAATGTGTCCTAGTGCACTCGCACACCCAGTACTGTTCAGAAACCCTTCATACCCCCTAATTAAGCTTTGAACCCCCCCAAATGACGTTGAAAAAGTATGTATAGTAAGTAGGCCATAACGTACAGTCATCCGGTCGATATCGCAAAATACGCCCTGACAGGGTAACCAGGATCCTGATGTGAAGTCAGTGCATTTGTATTAGTGCTGTTGATTTAACGTGTTAATTTGGTGTGATTATTATTATTATTATGTCCTTAACAATTCAAGATATGAGGTAAAAAAAAAAAATAAAAAAAAACCTGTATGGGGTTTTTGTTTTAGGTTTATATCATATGTTATAGTTGAGCGATATCACACAAGCAAGAGCTTTTTTTCGTGAATATGTGCACAATTGCAAATACAGGTTCAGTAAACAAGAATTTATTATTGTGTTACATTTTAGACACAGTATTGTCAGTATATTATCTGTTTTTGATCAATTTCACTCATGAAAATAGTTCCAAACAAAGCCACAACCAAACCGTTGTGCATCTTCGAGCAACACACAGCAGTTTCGTAATGAATGAATCACGGTTTTGAACGAATCAAGTGAGTCATTGATTCTGTGAGACAGTAGCTGCGCCCCAAATGACGCACTTATGTACTTATGCACTATGTACTCAACCATGTAGTGTATGAATTATATAAAGTTATTTTGTCATTCATAATCGGAGTCTGATAGCCCCTCCCCCTCCGCCACGTAATTAAAGCTGCGACAGTTGAGTGCATGTCCAACATTCCAAAATTCATTTTTTCGGTTATTTAAGTGCATCATCCGGGTATTTAAAGTGTACTTTTTCTTTTTGGAATTTTTAGTGTGAACGAACTACTTGCACTATTTATACTACAAAATGGCATAGAATAGTGCATAAGTACATGAATTGGGACACACCTACTGTGGCCTTAAACGTTTATATTCAATAAATTCTATGTTGGATCAAAATATTTCTTTCTAAAGCTACTTTTGTATAATGTCTGTTCAGGGCTTTTCTCATTTAATACTATAATGATTTTAAATGATCTTTTGGGGGGGTCCTTTCTCAGCCCAAATTGACGTGCAATTAATTTATGATTAATTAGATTAATTTATTGGCACATCATGTAATTAATTACAATAAAATTTTAATCACTTGACAGACCTAATTTGTATTATACCAAAGGGTTTTATTTTGTGCAATATTCGGCATCATGGGGGGAAAAAAACAGATTCTGCGTCTGAAATCGCACACTTCCCTACTATGTAGTATGCAAAAAACAGTATGTGAGGCGAGTAGTTTGTCCGAATTCATAGTATTCGTAAAACAGTAGGCGAAAAGTACCCGGATGACCCAGTGAGATTTTGAAGTGCGCATGCGATGGACACACGGGTGACAGTAACAACATGGCGGATGTAGTACGTCCGAATTTCATTCATACTACCCATATTCTATACTATATAGAACATACTTTTTTAACAGTTACCAAGTAAGCTGGAATTCAAATGTAGCACCTGCTCAGACAGTATGCAATTTTAGATGCACCGTGTGTCTGATCTTGTTTTCCTCCTTTTAATCTCATCTTGTCTTTTTTATTATTCAGTCTGCTCTTAAACATGTCTTGTATTTCAAAGACACCTCAGATGTGATTAATGTCCATTATAACACCACACTTGCCATATCCCATAATCCCTCATTCCTTTGGTTAAGCTTATAATAACAGCAGTCTCTCACTGTGCTTGAGTTACTGAGGAAATTCTCTCATATATTTACACAAAGAAAACCTTGTTTTCTGGTGCGCTTACAAACGTATAAAGCACCGGATAAAAGTAAATCCCCTGACCAAACAAATCAGGATAAAACCAAATACCCACAACAAAGACACGACTGCTGAAAGAACACAACTGAGCTTTATGGGCTTTTCTTTGTTCCTAAATGGTGAGCTGAATTTGAAAGGTTTTCTTTCATTTTTTATAATTTGTAACTGTAAAACAATGGATGCTTTTGCATTTGAGTAATAATCACATTCAAAATAATCATATGTGACCCTGGAGCACAAAACCAGTCTTAAGTCGCTGGGGTATATTTGTAGCAATAGCCAAAAATACATTGTATGGGTCAAA